TCCCTCGAATGTGTCCTAAATAAGATCTGGTCTATTCCCAACTGACGAGTGCTGGAATCACACACAAGACCTTGGCAATGATTTTCAAAAACTGTGGATCGGAGCGCTGCTAGTGCGACATGAAACTGCTTCAGCTCCAATATCATCCTGTTAGGTATTTCCATCTGAGCTTCGGTAGATAAGTGTCTCAAAAGGTTCTGCCAGTTCTGGCAATTCCAGTTCCATAATATGGTAATGCAAACTTTTTGTAAAAATGAGTTTTCGCGATTTTCAGATATGTGAGCAGCCTGTTGGTGCTCAGGCCGATATATTCATTGCATCACTTGGAGACAGGAACAGATGCACACTGAAGAAATTTCTCGAAAATTCTCCCCGACAGGAAAACCATTATTTCATGTGGATAAAAGATCATAAAGCAGACAAGGTACGATTTTGTCTTCAATTCGATTTTGTCCCTTCAGAAACAATTTAGATTCTTTCAAGTCGCATTTACTTTCAGTTCACTGTGATCTCCATCAAAACACTGGAAAATCATCTCAAATCTTCACAACGGGTACGTCGCGTAAAATGGCGGCAAATGTCGACAGAGCGAATGTCCATCTATCGATACAGCTTACCGGCGATCACATACGAAAAGTCTAAACGCATGTGTGAATGCGTGATGCGACGCAAAAAGATGTGGATGATAGCCACATGGCTCACCTTTATTTTGCTACTTTGCGTGATTGTCGTCGTGGGCTCGTTGAGTCCCGAAGAACGAATACATCCATATCTTCACTATAATGCCTCGGCAACACAAATTGCTTTGCACAATCTTCGAAATATGAGCATTGGCTGATTACACAATGTGTCTTCTCTCTTCTGTACAGTCAACGTTTTTTGTTTTGCCTTAGTATGAATAAAGCTTAATTCAATGAAACTCGACAAAAGCAGAACTACAGGGTATCCCAAAATTATTGGCGCCGATTTATAGCAATATATTTCAAACTTCTCAGCTGCGAAAGACGGTGGAATCTCTATGCACGTTAGTCAACACTATGTGCTACAACATGCTACAGTCTCCTTTGAAAATATCTCCCATGACCGCGGATAGAAGTCAAAGTTTGCTC